GGCTTCCTGCTCCAGGGCAGAGCAAAAACAACAGAAAAATAATTGCCAGTACACCCCAGAGGAAAATTTTTTCTCTTCCCCAAATTTGGCAATCAATCTAACCCAGCACATGTGACTAAAAATCTCTGCTATAAAGAACATAATTCCATTTACACACCAAAACACCATAGCAATGTGGCTTGAATTGGAGGCTTTGTGTCTGGGTTTTCAATTTTCTTCATAAGAGCCTATATTTGCAAGACCAGCAAGGACTGGTCTAGAACCAGAACAACAATCATGTCTAGAATAAGCATTTTCTTTGCATGTTCTTATCAGTCATAGTTGGATCATAACTAGTCTTTAGCCATGTTTAGATCATTATGCCAATTTTTAAAACATCAAAAAATGGTGTATGTGACAGCCCACTTTCTGTTGCTATAACTGAATACCATAGAGTGGGTAATTTATAAAGAGTAGGGGTTTGGGAATTTGGAAAGTCCAAGAGATTGGTGCCAGTATCTTGTTGCCATCTAATAGAGGTCTTCTGGCTGCATCATAACAAGACAAAAAGCACAGCATGGTAAGATGGAGCAAATGTGTATCAACTCCAATCTCTCTCCTTACAAAGCCACCAGAACCATCATGGAAGCCCAGCCCTGATGATATCGTCTAATCCTAAATATCTCCCAAAGGCCCCACCTCCAAATACCATCAATATATGAATTGGGGATAACATTTCCTACACATGAAATGTGAGGAACAGATCCAAACCACAGCAATACAGCTCGTTGCAATGTTCCTTTCCCCCACTCTCAGGGGTAGATGTGCTAGGTTCAGAAAACACACCACGTTTTGTGTTGCTTTAATCATTCACATATGGGAAGTTTCTAGAATGGCTTTATTCATGTTTCTGGACCCAGAGAGAGTTTCTATAACTAGGAAATATCGTTTGCATTCTTTCACATTATTGGAGCTCAGGGAAGTATTAAGGAAAGCACTTCAGGTGAAGTTGCTCTTTGAATTTAGTAAAAGAGCCTGCATGATGAGGTTGTAGCTCTATACAGTGTGCTGCTCTTTTGAAGGCCTTGAACTAATTATGGCATATTTTGCCCTCACTTAGAGTATTTAACCTTCTATGGAAAAATGACCTGGTGCTCATCTGTATGTTATTTTGAGAATGTTCAATTTGTAGCTTTCCCTCTGAAGTCTCTGCTCTTTCTCCAAGTCTTTCAAAGGCCATAGTTCCTCACTCACTGTGCTTCCCCATGGAGCCACCCACCATGTATGTTTCCTCCATACACTCTCTCTGGGTTTTCCAGATAGGAAAATGGCCAGAAAGTGTACAAAAAGCCAAGCTCTTTGGAAAAGAACCCCAGAGCCTTAGTAAATGAACTAGAATCAAATTGCAGAACTGCATTTCCTAGACTGTACACCATTTTACCAGTTGGAAAGGGATTCAGAAGCCAATAAACACACAAGAAACTGTAAAGGTGTTCAGCAATAAGGTAAACTGATAAAAGAAAAAGAGCCATCAAAAGACAAATGAATGGCAAATTTGCCCAATATTGTCAGCAACAGCCTGTAGCTCTAAGCAATTGTGTCAAGTGTTTCCCATCCACAACATACTCTCTGAGTAAAGAAAGAGACCAGTGTCTGTTTTTCTTCATATCTTCTCCTGAATGCAACAAAGATCATAAAACTGAGAAAATAAAAACTGCACACGCAAATTATGTGATGGGCATGGTTTCATGAGTATTGTTAGGGGGCTTAATGATCCGATCTAAGGCTGAATCTACTTGGGTGTAGGGTGAGCTGAGATTTCAGGACAAATAAAGCTATGCCAGCTAGTGAGACAGCGTGCACTGGCTCAGTGAGGATACCATGCCAGCTCTATTTGGTATTCATCACTGTGTTGCTATAAGTGGGCTTCCTACTCCCTCCACATCTCAGTTTTTGGAGATGTTGAAGGAAACCAATAATATCACCCATTAGGTTATCATGGGGATGTAATGAGATCATACATGAAAAGCAACTAGCACAGTTGCTGGTATGTTTTAGGCAATCAATAGACAAATAGTTCTTTTCTCTTTTACTTCCAATTAGATTTCTAAAGATATATATTAATCTAACCATATAAGGCTCTTATATGTTAGTATGATCTATAATAAGCTTGAACATAAGTATGAAATGTTTTCCCTTTATTGACTCCAGTTTAAAGCCAAAATATCTCTACTATCCAGTACAGACAGTAGCCATCAGCCACATGGGATGCTTGAGCACTTGAAAAGAGTTCAGGCTGGGATGTACTGTAAATATAAAAAACAAACCACATTTCAAAGACTTGGTCCAAAAAAGTTTATAAAATAGCTCATTAATTTTTACTTTGATTACATTTTAACTGATAGTATTTGCTATATAGTAGATTAAATACAATATATTATTAATACTAACTTCACACTTTTCCCCCTTTTAATGTGACTACAGGAACATTTACAACTACATATGTGGTTCATGTTGCATTTCTATGGGACAGTGTTAGAGGGTAAAGACCCAGAGATATCCCAAAGAAATTACAAAAGGCGACATGCCTGTCACCCTCTCTGACACCCTGAGACCAGACTCAAAAGAATTTGGAAACCACATATTGTTTTGCTCAATCCTTCTGCTGCTTTATGTCTAGCCCAGCTGACCATGCCCCTTTGACTCCCGCCTTTTCTGGCAGTGATAAGTGAACCAGACTGCAGAAAGAGGCCCACGACAGTGTCACCCACCTGGGTGCGTCACATTTTACAGGCTCAGTAGCCACAGGTGGTTAGTTACTACTGTAGTAGACGACTCAGCTCCAAAATACAAAGTCCCTATTTCTTCTAACAGGTAAAAGATGGTTTCCCCAGGTAAAACTGGGGTAGGTTTTCAACACAACAGAAATACAGCCTCAAAAACAAAAAATCAAGCTGAAGCCATTCTCCTACTCTTTTTTTTCTTTTGGTACCAGGACTCAAACTCAGGTCCTTGCGCTTGTGAGGCAGGCAGCGGAACCACTGAGCTAAATCGCCAGCCCTATTCTCCTAATCTTAACCAAGCTTTATACTTTTATGTATTACAATTACAATAACAACCTTTGTTTGAATAATAGTCACTATTTGATAGCTTAGGCAGTGGCCTGGCAATGAGAAGTGTTTGTCTTACGGTAGACTTACAAAATAGAAAGATTGACAGTCTAAGAAAAAGCAACTTATTTCCCATTTGCTACTGGTTGCCAGATGTTGCATTTTGACCCTTGAAGAATTCAGAAGCACACACCTTGACTAATTGCAAACTGGATATGGGAGGTAGTAACATGAAAAAGATTAGCCATGCGAGGAATCTGAATTAAAGGGTCTTTTTTAGAACTTACCTGCTTTTCTAGTCTTTCAACAAATGACAAATATTTTTTTAGAAATCATGCAACACCATGCAGTGTGTTCCTTAGGTGTCTATGGCCACATTAGTAGAGTGGCTCTGTCTATGAAATGGTATGTAGTCTACACAACCAAATAGTAATTTATTTTATACCACAGCATCTATGAAATGGTGTATAGTCTACACAACTGCAGTAGTTTATTTTACACCACAGATTGTGCATATAATTTTTAAAGTGAAACATTGCTACATTGTTGGAAATAAAGATTAACCCTGTCGACATTGTTATAGTTTATATATCAAATGAACTTCCTCTCAAAGTCTCGTGTGTCTAAGGGTAGGGTTTTGGGGAGGTGATTGGATCATAGGAGCAATATATTCATCAGTGGATTGATCTATTGATAAGTTCATAGCTGAATGTGCTGTTAACAATGTGGGGCCCAGGAGGAGGACGTTGGTCACTGGCACCAGGGCTTGGGAGGGTATATCTCTCGCTCTGGCTCCTCCCCATGCTCTGCTTCCTGGCTGCCATGAAGTGAGCAGCTTTGTTTCACCATACCTTTTGACCTTGATGTTCTGCCTCACCTCAGACTCATAGCAATGGAACCAGCCAACCATGAACTGGAATCTCGGAAATTGTTAGCCAAGCAAATCTTTTCCTCCTTTAAGTTATGTATGTCAGCCATTTTGTCCCAACAATGAGGAAGCTGACCAACACACACTCAGAATTCTGACAACCAATTCTTGCAGGAGCATTGTTTGTTACTCTGGGATAAGTGCTCCTAAGATCTGCCCCAAAGAAAGAAGGTTCAGGCAGAGCTAGTGGTTGTGAAGAACAAGGAAGCTGCTCTGAACTAGCTATGGTATTGTGCTGTAAAGGCTAACTTTAACCCTTTTTTTTCTTTTATTTAACCAAATAACTTAAATTGACATATTCACTTCATAAAATATGTTCCCTTTAAAGAGGCAAATCTGCATTTTCTTTCTTTCTTTTTTTTTTTTTTTGGTTTGGTACCAGTGATCGAACTCAGGACCTCATGCCTTTGAGGCAGGCGGCGGTGCCACTGAGCTAAATCCCTGGCCCAAATCTGCGTTTTCTTAATGAACAGATGTCTCTTCGTTGAGTTTTTGGACCATAAAAGAAGCACAATAGTAAGAACAGATGGATTAAGGAAGCTTCTCCCTCCCTCAACTCGACCTATGTCAGGGAGGACTAATTATTTAATTCTCAGAGTTGCTGTTTCCCATTAGAAAACTGAGAGCAATGACTCCAGGTCTCCTGGCTTTCTCCTCTGCTTTGGGCACACGGGAGCTATGGACCTAACTATTTACCACATCCCCTAATCCCCTCCTTTAACCACCATCCCTGACAGCTAAAAGGGAGAGGCAGAAAGGTAGAAGAGAAGTCTACACAGCAGAGTTCAAGAGATAAAGCAGTTAGATGAAATCACTTAATCCTTAATGGTTCTGATAAGACTCAGAACCCCTCCCTAATTTGATCTAACTATGTGAGTTACTAAAAGCTCAGTGTCATTTCTATCCCCAGCACTGTGCTAGCCCCTGGGGGAATTGCAAGAGACACTCCAGACATGGTCAGCATATACTATTTATAATCTCACCATGAAGAAGGCATCCATTCATGAGGCCAGCTGGGCAGATACAGTCACTTGAAAAAAAAAAAAAACATAAGTTATCAGCTTCAATTCTGCTATACTGTTAAATTTGGAAGGAAAAAGAGAGTAAAACTTACACTTACATCAGGCATGATGGCAGTTAGTCAGGGGGCTGAGGCAAGAGGATCACTTGAGCTCAGGAGTTCAAGGACAAAAAAGGTCTTATCTCACATGTAGTTGACAAAAATGGAGTTTTTGACATAATGGAGTTCTGCATAGACTAACTCTTCAAATTAATAGTGTGGTGCTAGAAAAAGAAGCCAAATATTGTGGTACATAGAGCCACTGAACACAAAGAATATATGATTTCAAAATATGAAAAATACAGTTACATTCATGGGTTTTTTCCCAGTTTTTAATATAATCTGTGAGATTTTAATAAAATACTTGTAGCTTGCTGCTTCAACATGCCCTCCTCAAAAGGAACACATTCGCTTTGCGTTGTCCTTGGGGGTCTTGGATATAAGCTTTCAAGAACTTCATTTCCTGGGCATTTCTGATGCCACCAGTGATGCTGGGCATTGAATGTTTCCACAAGATACCCAGCGAGGACCCTCACGGAGGCCCAGGGAGAAGCTGCTGGCCTTCATGCTGCTCAGAAACAAATGCAAACTGGTTAAACCAAAGAATATGACCATTTCCAGGGATCCTCCGAAGTATCTGTCTATATTATGGACTGTTTACAGAGATGAGTGCCACACAGCCAGTGTGCAATAAACAGACTGAATATACCTTTTTTAGTTTTAATCCATTGTCAGTAAATGCAAGTTCAAAGCATCTTGGAGTTCTGCAATGCACATGGGTCACAATGGAGGCTTTTGGGGAAGTAAAAAAGGTGGAAGTAAAAGGTTTACCTGTAAATTTCCTCTGTTCTTATTATATTCCAGCTCTAAAATCCTTTTGGTAAGAGAAAATAACACACAACACAGGACTTGTGCTTATAGACACAATAAAGAAACTAAATTTACCTTACTGTCTTAAACAAGAAAAATCAGGACCAAACCTGTGACTTGTTTCCAGACATTAAACCATAGAAAACATGGGACTGCGATCACCAAGAAATTAGTGTTTTGGTACAACCGATGACAGCTTTTTTCACCAGCAAACCCAAACAAAGACCAGCAGCCCTGGTGAGTTGAGAAGACAGAGATCAGAGTTCAGAGAATCCAAGAAGGCTAAAACTTGAGGAGCAGGGAAGCAGAGGTGAAGGAACTACATAGTGAGAGAATCTCCTCCAGTCTGGCTGCATACTGAACTGCACCTACAGCAGGAGATATTTCCAGAGGTCAGAGAAAGAATAACAAGAAATGAACACAAAAAATCATTTCCCAAGCTCACATAAAGCTGAGAATAGTTAGACCACCAGACAAAGCAGTAATATCTTGTAATATGGACACTGGGTAGAACCATACAAGGACATTGCCTTAATGATGGGATTAAACTAAACTAAAGGTTGCTCTGGATCTGTCCTAACAAACCTTAAAAGCAAATCAAAAGACAAACTGATTCAACATCACTTAACAACAGTATACCAGGGCAAAATCCAACAACATCTTTAAAGATACAACAAAATTCACCAAGCAACAATGTAAAATTCATAATATGAAATGTCAGATTTTTTAAAAATTAAAGCATGAATAAAAAACTAAGAAATATGTTCTATAAAAACAGAAAAGCCAATCCATGGAAACAAACAAATAAACCACTGATGATAGAACTAGCAAACAAGGATATTATAATCAATAATCAATAAATAATAACACTAAAATGGAAAGGTATAGCTAGTGAGGAAAAAGCAAAGATAAAATGTAACCATAAAAAATAAATTATTCTAAATGTAGGCAAAGGAAGAAGACTAAAGGAACAAAGATCAGATGGCAGAGATGGAAAACAAGCAGCTATAGGAAAGATTCAAACTCAGTCAAATGGATAATTACATAAAATATAAATGGCCCAAACACTGCAGTTAAAATGCAGTGACTCTCAGTTTAGATTAAAAAGCAAGATCCAATTATATGCTGTCTACAAAAAGCTACTTTAAAGATAAAGATATAAATAAGTTAAAAGTAAAAGGATAGAAAACTATGTATATAAAAACACTAATCAAAAGAGAGTTGAGGTGGCTATACCAGACAAGGTACATTTTAGAAAACAGAGTATCATATAATATGAAGACATTTTACAGACTAAGAGGACATAACAGTCCTAAATTTATGTACCTAATAACAGAGTTCAAAATATATGAAATGAACTTGATAAAATTCAAAGGGAAAAATAGACAAATCCACAATTACAGTTAGAGAGTACAACATTCTTCTCTTAGCAATTAATAGAATACATAGACTACAGAAATCAGTTACACTGCAAAGAAACTTGTTTTCTATGTATAGTATCTTGAGCATTCCAATTCCTATGTACAAGAATCATATGTATATTCACCATGAAGAAATTGTGTGCACCACAAATAAACCCCTTTCAAACTAGAAAAAGAAAAAGAAAGAAAAGATAACAGTTACAAAAGATTTAAACAGTTGGTTGTGGTGACACACACCTGTAGCATTTGCAAGGCTGAGGCAGGAGAATCAGTCTGAGTTCAAGGCTAGCCTGGGCCACACTGTGACTTCAAGGCCAGCCTGCACTGCAAAGCAAGACCCTGTCTCAAAAAACAAACAAAAAAGAATATCATTACCCACAAATTTGGCCTGAATAACATTTAAAAGACACTCCACTCAATAATAGCAGAATCTGTGTTCTTTATGAGTGTACCCAGAAAACTCAACCAGGGTAAATCATGTTGTGGGCAATAAGACAGCTTTGTGTGCATACACACACATACAGACATTTACAGAAATTAAATTGAAAGTAGAAAAACAAGAGAAACATAAGTTGGCTTTTACAAATACTGATAAACTTCTAGCCAAACTGAAAAGACACAAGTCACCAACATCCGTAATAAAATATAGGACATCATCACAGATCCTACAGCTATTACAAAAATGATAAGAGACTATCGTGAATATGATGCCAACAAATTTGCAACTTAGATAGAATGTGAAAATTATTTGAAAGACACAAACTACTAAAGCTTATTCAAGAAGAAATACATAACTTGAATAGCTCTATAAACAATAAAGAAATTTAATCAATAGTTTAGTGCCTTCACATGAAAAAAATCCTGAAAATATCACATAAAGAATTTCTTAATGAATTTTTCCAAATCATGTAAGAAACAAACCCAAATTCTGCACTAATTTTCTATTGTTTTTAAAGACCTGAAAGTGCAAACCACTATGTTATGCTTAGTCTAGCTTTTTATATCTGTCAGGGATCCACTTCCTAACCTAAAAATTATAATATTATCTTCTTTCAACTTTGTCAGAAAAACCAAATAAAATGATATGAAAGAACTATGTAAGGGGAAGGGGAAAGGAAAGAAGGGGAAGGAAAAATTATGAGAAAAGAAAAAAATGGAAACAGTCTATGTAAATAGGGAAGGGTGGAGGTGGTGAAGGGTGCACAGGTAATGGGGAAAAAATAAGAACTAAGATACATCATGTACAGGTACAAGCACCCAATGATAAATGTAAATGTATTGTATACCTAAAATGTACCAATAAAAGAATTAAAGCAAAAAAAAAAAAAAAGAACTTCATAAATGAAAGCAAATAAAAGCCAAAATGAAGAAATGAACAAGTAGCTCACTGTTAAGACAGTTGCCCAGCATGTGCAAGGCCATAAAAATAAATAAATAAATAAAATATATTCTTTAGACTGAATTGAAAGCTAACATGATGTTTCTCATTAAAAATTTAGTTGTTTCACTAATAAGTTTTTCTTATCTGCAAATGTCCTGGTTGAGGTCTCCCAGTCTTTTTTTTTTTTTTTCCCAGAAAATTCCTGAAGTTTATTTACCTTAAACAAAAAAAGAAAAGAAAAATAAATTACATTAGTGCTGGATTTTTAAGAATGATTGACACAGGAGAGAGAGAAAGAGAAACAGAGACAGAGACAGAGGGAGAGAGAGAGAAAGAAATACACACCACCAGATTGGTGTCTTTATTTAAAATCAGTGAAAACTGAGATTTAATACATACAAAAGCCTCCCCCGTAATGACCTAAAGTTGTGCCTTAAAATGCAAATGGAAGTACACCTGTCACCATCTCTCAGTCCTTAAACACTGATCCAACCTCCCAGTAGCTCTTTCAGCTTCTCTCGGCAAACAGAAGCAGAGTACTGGCTCTGCTTCCCCGGAAATGCACCACCAATGCTCACCTGAAGGTGTCTGCCCAGGTGGGGCTCAAGTTGCCTGGCCAGAGATTTTTTCAGGACAGAACAAAGTGCCAGAAAAGAAAGACTGGGCAGGGAGCCAAAGTCAGAACCAGGAAACCCCTGAGACAAGAACGAACTGTGCAGGCAGGCAGAGCCACACTGCACTGTGCTAGCCTATGGGTTCTAAAGTAACTATTTTGAAAATAAGCAAGTGAAACTTGTTGTCCGCAAAAGTGTGCAAATACCATGTCTAAAGGCTAACCATATTTAGTTAACAGAGGAAAGGTTGATCGTGGCAAGAATTATCAAACACAAAATCAGCTCACCATCATGTCATCATTTGAGGGAAGGGTGGGCAGCACCCACAACCAGAGGGCAACACGACAAGTTAGAGACGCCCCCACTGCCCACTGAGGGGGTTAGCTGGCCAGGCTAGAGGGCAAGGCTGGTTGTGACCAAGACATTTGCTCCCAGGACTTCCAATGCCATGGCAACGCATGTGAACACAGAGTAATAGACAGTGACATTCCTTACATTGTGTCAGTTTTAAGATCCAGATAGCTGGAGATATAGATGTCAGCTTGTAGGACAGGCAGGCTCCATTGCCCATGGATATCCCACTGCCAGCACCTGTCCACCCAGCAGGTTGTGTGCCTTGAAGTGAAGGAAGGAACCCGATCTGCTCCCCAGCCTCTCCTCCCAGGCTGCAGTGGCCGGCAAGGGGCGCCGCCCCCCAGTCTGTGTCAGCACATGGAGCCCAGTCAGGGGAGACCACTGATAATTATTTGACACAGATGGTCACTTCATTAGCATAGATTCCACGAAGCCAGTTACTGGGTGCTGAACGCAGCCCCTCCCTCTTCCTGAGCAAGACCTGGAGCCATCAGGCAACTACTTCAGGCAGAGAATGGTCCACTCCCACCACTCTGGAGGCCTGTTTTGTGAAACAGCCTTTTCTTTTAGGACACCTTAAATTCCTGGACAGTAAGACTTACGAGCAAGATACACAGACTCACCTGTGCTTCGAGGAGGCAATCAGAGCATGCGGAACTTGCCCCAAGAGCTGTCAGCTTCTCAGCTCTGATTCCGTGGATTCAGACCTTGTACACATGCGGCAGCTCCGCAGTTGTAGAAATGGTCTTCAGGAAGACAGGTGAGACAGATCCACAGCCTCATCTCTATGACACACCTCTGCCAGCGCCAAGCAAAGACAGGGAGTTGCAAATGCCCTGACACTCTAAGATCCAAATTTTAGAGTGAGAAGGAAATTAAATTAAGACACAGCAGTCCAGTGGGTTTTCAAACATTTTTAGTAGGATATCTCTTTGTGCAAATAGTATCTTTGGGTGAATTCCAATGTATAAAACATGAAAAGCAAAGCTGTTCTGAAGGAGAGTTTGGGGCTCCAGTGCCCCCACCCTGGGTCTTCATCCTTGTCTCAGGATGCCACGGCAGAATTCTCTGACAAAATCTAGGTCTCTGCAGAGCACAATGTGGAAAACACCAATTAGTCAGTCGTTCTTAACTGCAGTAGTAAAACCATCAGGGAAATGGAGCAACCTGTCCAAGGTCACACAATGTGAGTTCTTCCAAGGCGGTGAACAAAATAGCTCCCCTACTCCCCCTCCAGACACACGCTCTGTACTGACCTTGGGAGTCTGAATCTGCACGTGGTGTGGTGACCTTCTGGAACAAAGAGGGATTTGATTCACTGTTAGCCCCAAGTC